CCGTCGATAACCACGGTGGTCCGGCATTCACGACAATTCCTTGCCGGTGACTGGTACGTGTTTCTGGCCGGGCAATTGGGGCGGGCGGCGGGCGGCTGCAGCTGACTTTGTCTGTGTGTGTGTGTGTGTGTGGTGTCTTTGTGTGTGTGCGCGTGTGTGTAATGACAGAATTTTTTCTGTTTTTATTTTCTTTTTTCTTTTTTTGGTGTTGGGGTATAGTTATGTGAATTAGACAATTTATAAGGGCTTTTGTAAAATTTCATAGCTTTTATTATATTGCATTTTAATAGGTGGATGGTTTTGTAATTTCTCAAAATTTTGATATATTGAACATTAACAATAAAGATTTGCACATCAACAATTTTAATAAATTAAGTTCATTGGTGAATTTGTAATCAATCAAAATATAATTAATATTTTAACATTCATTTAATATGTAATATTTTCTTATAGTTTTCTTATTGAAATAAGTATACATAAAAAATAAATGATGATAATAAATAATAGTATGTTTTATGAAGTTCGGTCATTCCATTGTTTCGATTATCTAAATGAATAAATAAAAATATAAAAATTAATATTTTCAATATAGTTTATTTATTTATTTTGATTATTTGAATAAAAAATGACATTGTACCGATATATAAAAATAGTAGTAATAACAATCAAACCAAAAAATATAAAAAGTCGTACTAAATTTACGTTCGTTGAACCTTGTTCGATTTTGTGCAATCTGGTCTGCATTTATGTGCAATCCGTATAACTATAACGTGCAATCGAAATACATAAAAAATACATATAGAAACATATTATTATTTTTCATAAAACTTTATAAACAAATAAAAAAATCGGTAATATTTATCATATAGTTCGACATATTCAGTTATTTTGTTTATTTAAAAAAAATAAATGTGATCCTAAGCATAACTAATGTAATTTTAATAAGGTGTAACATGTTGTGTTATAAGGTGCAATATAATAATGTATAAAGTGCAACGTATTGATACAAAAATGCAATACTGAATTGTTTGATTCGTTAGCATGTTTTTGTTTTTGTTTTT